GCTTCTACTAAATACTGAGCAAAGGGTCTGAATACTTATGACCATGTGATATTTCAGTTTTTCTTTTTTAATAAATCTGCAAAAATGTCAAAAATTCTGTGTTTTTCTGTCAATATGGGGTGCTGTGTGTACATTAATGAGGAAAAAAATGAACTTAAATGATTTTAGCATATGGCTGCAATATAACAAAGAGTGAAAAATTTAAGGGGGTCTGAATACTTTCCGTACCCACTGTATATGCCCTCAGTACAGCTCAGCACTCAGTATGTATCTGTGAGCATGGTAGAATTACCTGTTACTTTCCATATCGGTGACATAGCTATAGACTAAAGGCTTTCCATATTTTCTAAACCCTTTGTGGTTTTTATTTACTTATTTGCATCAGAAAAGTTAAAAAGTTGCTCACTAGTTCACAACCAGCAGCTCGAGAAATCTAAAAGGTTGCAAGGTAAATCTGAGGAAAGCAAGATAATAGAACAAATGAAACATATGAATACATCATTCTTATTCATTCCCCAACAGGAGTCAACCATTGAACTGATCTTCGCTGCCTTTGCCACCACTGCCAGTGCCAGCACCTCTCTCATCATGCAGCTTCTCCGTCACCCTACCGTCCTGGAGCGACTGAGGGAGGAGCTGAGAGCCAGGGGCCTCCTTCACAATGGCTGCCTCTGCCCCGAACAAGAGCTGAGGCTGGACACCATTGTCAGCCTCAAGTACCTGGACTGTGTCATCAAGGAGGTGCTGAGACTCTTTACGCCCGTCTCAGGGGCCTACCGAACCGCCATGCAAACCTTCGAACTTGACGTGAGTGGTCTAAAAGTAGTTCTCGACTGAATACTATAGCCACTTAATTATTTATATCTCTTTATTACCTGTGTCTCCTCTTATGCACAAATTGATAACAAAGACATTATTTTCAAATAGTACATCCAGCTTCAGGTGTAGCATTTTTGCATTATGAGTACTTTTCAGTTGGACATCATCACTTAAAGATAGGTTTCAACTGACATTTTTGTATTTTTTCTATAGAATGGTACAGAAGTCCAGTTCATAAAGCATATGAACACTGCCCTGTCAAAGTGTAACAAACTACCCAAAAAGTCAAGGTCTCGCCACCAAAAATCCCATTTGAAGTGACAACAGTCTGATCACAATCCAAAATTTGCATGAAATCTTTATGAACACCGAACTACAAGTAAACTACAAGAAAATACCCCAAAAGACAAGGTTTTGTGGGTAGATTTAAGGACAGACAGATTTCAACTCATTCTCATATTCCTTCCGATAAAAAAAGATAAATTACAGAAAGTCCACCATGATTAGGCAGAAACACGAGCTACAATCAGATTTTCCACAAAATCTCTTGCCTTACTTCCTTGTAAGGCAAGAGCCAAGGTTTTACTATGACGCAATCAGAGAATATTTAATTGTAGTCATGACTGCACTCATGCACCTGCTCACTGGTTGCATTCCTTTGTGTCTCTAGGGAGTCCAAATTCCCAAGGGCTGGAGTGTGATGTACAGCATTCGAGATACCCACGACACTGCCGCAGTCTTCAAGGATGTGGATGCCTTTGACCCCGACCGCTTCAGTCAGGAGCGGGGAGAAGACAAGGAGGGACGTTTCCATTACCTGCCCTTTGGCGGTGGTGTCCGATCCTGTCTGGGCAAGCAGCTCGCCACTCTCTTCCTCCGCATCCTGGCTATTGAGCTGGCAAGCACCAGCCGCTTTGAGCTGGCCACCCGGCAGTTCCCCCGTGTGGTCACAGTACCTGTGGTCCACCCTGTCGATGGGCTGAAGGTCAAGTTTTATGGCTTGGACTCCAACCAGAACGAAATCATGGCCAAGTCAGAAGAGCTGTTGGGAGCGACGGTTTGAAACCAGAGACTGGGTTGGGGGTTGGTGGTGGTGGGGTGGGAGGGGGAGTAAGTGATTGAAATTTTTAAAGAGAAGAGAGAAACTGAAGGAAGAACAGAAGGGATTTCAGAGCTATTTTTTCTTCCCCACCTTTATTGGAGGTTCCTTTTCAGACTAAAAGAAAAGCAGAAGTCTTCATCTTTTGTTACAACTGATGACGATTGGGACTTTCCTTTAAAGAAGGAAGAAGCTGCCAAAAAGTTTGCAATTATGCTCTATTCTGTGTATTTTTAAAGAAATATACAAACAAAATGTATGCACAAAAACTTATGTAATATATTTTGAAAGAGAATGTGGGTAGTACACAACGGGACAAAGATACTTCTCATAAAATGAAGTGCTGAAATTAGGAAAGATGGTTGTGGAAGGAAGGCGAGATGGATGAAACAGGGTATGGATGAAAGAATCTGGTCTGTTTGGTGCCAGAATTCGTCACGGTGGCACCCTAATTCACAACATATTTTCTGCTTATTTGAAAATGATTTGAAAAGAATGAGAGAAATCAGTGGTGGATCCATTTTCCATCAAAAGCCCATAAAAATTATAATTGTTTACTAATTTACAGATGAGGCCAGAAGAATCATACCATGCTGGGCAGCAGGCTGTGGTGCAGAGACTGCAGTGCCGAGCTGCACTATTTATTCAAAGGGTATCATTGTGCAAATATTCTGATCTGTTGAACATTTTACTGCTAATTAAAATGAAGTATCAGATCAGGCAGAAAGCTATATGCTTAGAAATGAGGGATGGAAGATAGACTGGCTGGATATTTTAAGGGGCAAAAAACACAACATTTGGCAGTTTCTTCAGTTTCTTATGGTAACCTTACTTGCTGGATTTTGATGCCTAGTTTCCATACTTCCATATATTTTCCACAGGCTGCCCATCTGCATCGACTCCAAATGTTGCCCATATAGCATTCCCTAGTAATCTTGGTGGTGTGAACTCCAGTGCAGAGTAGATGTGGCGAATAACAAAGTATTTCTGTGGCATCCAATATTTAAACTCGGACCAAGGGCACATACAAAGATTCACTTCCTTATTGCAGTTTCACAACTGGATGGAGGTGAAAAGCTGTCAGTTACTTTGCTTTCTTTCCACATAAACAAAAACATATCAGGGGTGTCCTAGACTATTTCCTCTCACTTGACATATTAGCTGATACAAAAAATTTCACATCACCTCCAAGAAAAGAATTTTGGTGCTGCAAGCAGAATCAACCAACAGGGATTCCCAATTGGCATCACACAGAATAAAAGTATCTGAAACCTCTCAAACATTAAGGTCCAGTTCTGCTCTGTAAACACCTTGAACCTGCGCTTTGGTTTATACAGTATGCTTATATGCTGCATGGATAATGTATTCTACAGGACAGTGACTTTATCTTGCAACAAGAATACGATAAAGAAATTGCTCTCATGAAGCAACGCACCCTCCTGGATTGGAGGAAGAAAAAAGACAAAGGGATAAGGTGGAGGTGGAGAAGAGAAGACATATATGCTGCTGGTGTGTGCTGGTTTATTGCTGTCTCCCCTTGGGGCTGTCATTTTGAGTTCTGTTGAGAAGATGGCAATCTGTATTACTGATCCTCCAATCAATGCTAAAATAGCAAAAAAAAAAAAAAAAAAAAAAAAAAAAAAACTGTCCGTGGTTTAAGTGACTTTATTAGTCTAAAGAGAGTTATTGTTTGAGGTGACTGCACAATCAGAGGTCTCTGAGTTTTGCGTGTACCATTATTGCAGAGCAAGATTTTTCTTGTTTCCCATATATGGAAAGTTTCTACAATGGAATTCAGGGACTTGTTAGTGGAACTCTGGGAATCTTCGGACAGAGAGCTAAGTTCCGAACAAAAGCATGAGAGAGGAGGACCAATGAGGTTTCAGGGGAGGACAGGGTTACACTCAGAGGGCTTTTTCTTATTGGACAATCCTGTTGTCCAATAGCATTCCAGATGGATTCTGCCTGTGCCAGACTCTTTCACAACACCACTGACTTTTTCATGATTACAAACAAAAAAATTCTTTTGCTGCTTTTCTTGTGTATATTTTCTAATTGAGAGTTCTAGATTGCAATAGTTTGTATCGACTGAGATTAAGTATGTCTATCCCTTTTATAAATATAGTTTAGCTAATAAAATATTAGCATTTTGTGAAAGTAAAAAGAGCATTAATAGGCTATATTGTATGATATTGTGTACAATATTCCTTTCTTTAGCAAGCAATGGGGGAAATCAACTATTTACATCAACTAATAATCTAATATTAATGATATTGTATGATTAATATTGTTGTTATATGATATTTCAAATGCTATTTTTATTCTATTACAGATTTAGAGTTTTTAGCCTAAATGAGAAGGTCTTTGGTAAATATTGGTTGTATTTAGAATGTTATGTATTTCATTTATATTGTAAACAGTGTTTAAAATGTTAATATTGTTGATTTGATTACTGTAATAATTATTATTTGTTTTGTTATTCAAACTTATTATCAATGCATTTTATTTGATATTAATTATGGAAAACAGAAAGCACTTGCAAGGTATATTTTTAAGTGCCATGCGACTACATTTTCCCTTCCACTCGCCTCTCGGTTTCTCTGTACCTATCCTATGTCATTCTGTATATATTTGTATTTCTTTATGCAGGAAAAATGTTCATTTAGTTCAAACATGAATGCCTTGTTCTGCTCTCTTCCTTTCCTTTTTTGTTACCATGGTTGTTAAATGTACTTCTGTAATAAAGTATAGAGTAAAAAAAAGATACCTGAATTGTGAATTGTTTTCTACGTCCTCTTCATGTAGCTAGCTAAAAGGAAGTATCTAAAAAACATACCACAATTTGTATTTTAACAATACAGAAAAAAAATGTCAAATGAAATGAGACATTCATGCTGGGGAAACCTTTTCACATCCGTGAAAACAGTGCAGGATGTTTCTTTAATGCTAGTACCTTAACTGCACTGTCTCTGAAAGTTTTGTTTTATAATTTGCTACTTTTGTCTACAAAATGTTTGCCTAATTTTACATTAAGCCTACAAGGATTTTCAGAGAGATGTGTTGACCATCTTTGATGGCGTTTCTGTGGTAAATCACCAAAAATCGATCGCCCCCTGGTGGCTGGTTGCAGTACAGGCCATAAATCCCGCCTCTTCCATGTTAGTGGATGGGACATGAGCCAAACTAAAAACTCAATTTACAAATAAAATACATTTTTCCCAGAGATCACTTAGTAAGTTATTGGATGATATAAAACGAGGTGTATTTTGGATGATCTGACTGTTCTGATTGGCGCTCCAATGCTGTGGGGGGTACACTGAAACTGGGGAATCTGGTTCAGACCGTCAACACATTGTCTGACTCACTGACACACTGTCTCACTGCCTCCATATCAGTTTTCACTTCCCAGCCAGCAAATCAATGTGGTTTGTGAACAACAAGAAGTAAGCTGCGGTGATCCATGGGATTTTTACTTTTAGCTCAATAGCAGACACAGAGAATAAAAGCTATTGATGAGAACAGATGTAAAACTCTACACACACTTCAAAAGCATTGTGGTGCACACGCATGGCCACAAATAACAGAAGTTGCAAAAACGCACACAAGACATTTTTGGAAATGAATGACAGCACAAACACATATTTACAAACAACATGAAAATAAAATATGACTGAAGGAAGCAATGGCAATTTGGACATACGCAGTACTCGTGAAAGCAGACACATAATCACACGGAGCCTGAGGGAAGAACAAGGAGCTCAGTTCTGTTTGTTTGTAGCTTTGCTGCCAGGAGTAACTGCCACACTAAGTACTCCAAGATGAACCACTTCAAGGACACCCTGTGTGCTTGTGTGTGTATTTGCGCATGGTTCTCTGTGTCCTTTGGGTTATAGTTTGTGGAAATGGTGGGATGGATTTCATGAATGGAGGAATGTTCTGTGATCATAGACCAGTCCCTGTTTACATTTTTAACCGTTATAATAAATATGATATATTTTCTTGTCTATTGTATTGTCATATTGTTGATATATACTCTACCCTGCTGTGACAGTACAGATAAATGAGCTGCATTAGCACAATGTGTATCTGCAGTGGAGTAAGAAGAGAACTTTTCCACTGGACAACATAAGCAGAAATCAGGAATACAATTCACTTTATGAAAGGTCAAACCTTCTCTTTCAGCTGAAGCCAATTAGACAGCCTTAATGAAATAATAAATTCTTTAAAAAGTTCATTGTAGCTATGTCCATAAAATGTAAAAAGATAAACTTGAACCCTAAAAAGACATTTTGGGTCTTGGTTACATGTGTAAAGCTACAGTATAGTTTTTATTTTGGTGCAGTACAATCCCTTGCACATAATATTTCCATATTTAACAGTATTTACCAGCGCAATGTCACAGCAGAAGCACAAATATGAAATTTTTTGCACCATTTGCTGCAGTAAAATAAAGATAAATACTGTTTATACTAAAAGAATGACTTAAGGTTGAAAATGTAAAATGTTTCGATTAAGGGTTGAAACATTATATGGCTTGGACAAACCTCACGCTTGTAATGTAAAGGAGAAAAACAACATACACATGTTCTGTGGACCACCGCCATCAAGTATGCCCAATCAAATTGTTCCCAGGGGCAGGTGCAGCCCAGGTGGATATTTATTCATTTATTAATCTGTTTTAATCTAATGATACTGTGAAACACCCATTAGTATCTGTTTGCAGATCAAGTGATAAAGAAAAACAAAAGACAGAGAAAGGCAGACTATGTACGTCATTCCACTAGACTAGTGTACACTAAGGGCTTATTAACTGCATCATGAAGAGTTGGTGTGACCCAGCAGACAGGTTGAGTCCAATATCAGTACGCTGAAGTGCAGGAAAGAATCACACGCGAGTTTAAGGAGATGTCAGCGGTTTCAACTTTGTACATGGGCCTGGGGCAAAACTGCTGCTGAATGTTTATGAAGTGACATGTTGAGGAAATTCACATTGTGCACGTCATCCAGTTAAATTTTTTTTCATCTAATGCAAACGCTATTTCCCGTAAGAAATCCTGAGCAGTCTCAAAAAAAAGAGAACCTGCAGCCAAGACACCAAGCTGCAACAGTAGGAGGAAATACCAATTCTGCATGAGCCTGACTAAGAACAGAGTTATATTTCTTTATGAAGTGAAATCAAATAGTGGAAGACTGAGTACTTCCTTTACTGTAAGGGAGAAAAAACTGCGGGCTAAATGCAGTCTGTCTACGGCAGCTGCCAAAGTGCTAAAAGAATAGAAAAAGATTAAGTTAAACCAGGTTGTAACCCCTTTATTTGTTCCTTTCATTGTCTGCATACGACTTTGCCTGCAGAGACGTGTCCTTGTATAAGTTTCCATATTTACAGGTAAGCAGAAATGTTAACTGGCATATTGCCATGTGTTTTGGTATGTACAGTATGAGGTGTGTGAGTGTCGTCATTGCCGTAACGTGGGATTTTCCTGCAGTGATCACCTATCAAACATGTATAAACTGCTCCTGGTGTGTCTTTTTTAACTGCCTGCAGCCAGCCAACAATTCAGGGTGGCAGCATACGCCTGCACATCCCGCTACAGTTTGTGGATGAAAGGCTTACAAAGAAAACATTTATGACAATCCAGCGCTGGTATCAAAGGATCATGACATTGTTTTTCTTAGGTTTTACCAAGTCGACACTCCTTTCACAGTCAATATGAAAGGAGAAGAGTAGAGGCAGAAGGTATTTGGAGATTTGCCTTTTCAGTCCTGGCAACAACGGAAGCAGTTGATTTATGTAGCATTTTGTTCCAGAAATTCCCATCTTGCACCCTGTGTCCATCCACCTCTCTATCCATCACTCCACAGTCTGTGTACAGCCAAATAAACACAGCAAGAAGCTCGGTCACATACTGTTATTTATCCAAGATTTTCAAATAAATTCTGCTCCATAAAATCCAGACTTCACCGGTCTTTTTATGCCTAATCAAAAAAACCTTTAAAGAATGCTTTAAAGAAAGAATATCAAAAAATCATGAACCAATAAAAACAGAATCAAACAAACAATCACTTAACAAATCCAGGATCACATAGGTCATCTGGTTATTTCAGTTCTTTGACCTCCACCTGAGCTGTGGGTTAGAAAAGCTGGATTTAGTCATCCATGATTACATGGGCGCCCTCATGGTTATTGACTAGAATATATATACTGACAATCAAAACCATGATGAACTAGTTTCCTATTGGCTACCTGCCAACATCCAAAGAAAGACAGCAGTCTACGAGGAACCTAAGCTTTTGTTAAGCAAGCAATGTCAATGGGTCGCCTTTGTTAAGAACACCATATCCACAGCTGAATGGACTTCTTGTTCCAAACCATTTAAATCTGAGCTGTTATTTTCTAAATTATTCAACTAACTTGTTAATCCACACACAAAGAACATGCCACGGGTCAAGAAACAGGGAAGTATGAAATTCAAAACCTCATAATAAACTTGTCAAAAATGTCATGAAAAATGGTTAAAAAGAATTCAACTTTTGCTTCATTTCTCAAAAGTCTTATTCATAATTTAATTTAATCATATATTTTTTTGTCTAATTTTTCATAAAAAAAGCACTTCTCAAGGTTAACTTGGTCAAAATACATAATT